TTTTTCGTCAACTGTAAATTTTCCTTTTTTTATAAGTATATAAAAATATGTGTATATATGTGTATATATATATGTGTATATATACACATATATATATATATATATATATATATATATACATATATATATATATATATATATATATATATATATATATATATATATATATATATATATATACATATATATATATATATATATATATATATATATATATATATATATATATATATATATATATATATATATATATATATATATATATATATATATATATATATATATATATATATATATATATATATATATACACACACGAGGCTTATTTAAAATTTTTTAATTTAACTTAGTTTCATATTTTCATACACTTTTATTTTGAAATTTTAGATTATAATAGCTTTAAAACAATGATAATGAAATATTTTTAATCGTTCTAAATTTATGGTAAGTTAAATATGCTTTTTTGTTATAAAATATATGTTATTATGTTGTTGAATTACATTAATATTTTTATAAATTACGTTATAGCTACAGTTATGGTCGTAAAAGATTAAAAAAAATCTTATGGGTGCAATTATTCCACTGACACCTGCGAAATTACCAAAAGAACTGACCATCGCTGTTTATTGTATTTTTTTAAATGTTCTAGTTAAACAATCTAACACTTAATTATTTGTTATTTTTATTATTGTTTTATAAATAAGCGTCCTTATTGCTTAGCGACTAGTTAAGTTATATTATAATGATTATATTTTCAAGAAGATTCTGTGTTTAAGTAAAAATTATTATTTTTATTTAAACTCGTATATTTCTTAAAAAATAAGCCTACTAATATATCTATGAAATCTTTAAAACTCAAATAATTAAATAAGACCCTAATAAACATATGAATTTAACTAAAAAAACTATTAACTAAAACTAGAAAGTAATACTTAACCGAGAAAAAAAAACCCCGCTAATCCTGTTAAGTACCTACTAAGTTCCGAGTAAAAACCATAGTAATACTACTAAGTTTCCTTCTAAAATCTTGCTAATCCTACTAAGTTTCCTACTAAAACCTGCTAATCCTACTAAGCTTCCTACTAAAACCTGCTAATCCTACTAAGTTCCTAGTAAGTACTCGGCGGGAACTTACTAAGTTTTAGAAGGAAACTTATTAGGAACTTAACAGGATTAGCGGGGTTTTTTTTCTCGGGTAGTAGCTGGAAAGTAACTTTACAAGTATAAAACATGATAAAATCATTAAATCAAACATTTTTGTAAATGGATTTCTAGTTTTTAAGACTCAGAGGACATGTTTATATTGTTCCACAACTGAAATATTATCAATTTTGCAATACTTTATTAAAATTGATATCACTTAATAACAATGTTTTGTTCTGTTGCTTTGCTAACTTTAATTACATATTGTGAAGGTTTGACAAAGCCATCTCTAACTTTAAAAAATACTAGATATTTGGTGATAACTAGTTATTTTCAGTTTTACATTATAGTATTTAGTGTATTAGAATAAATATCCAAAAACTTTTTGAAAGTATTTTTTGACAGGTAGGCGTTAAGTTAATTTATATATATATATATATATATATATATATATATATATATATATATATATATATATATATATATATATATATATACACATACATACGCCAGAACAACATTATTAAAAAAAATATAACGATTTGCTATATGTTGCCTAAGGAACCTTTAAGTTGTGTTACAATCACATTGCCTAAATAATTATTCATACAGTAAACTTGTAAGCTGTTTACCTTGCAAATGTGTTACAAGCCTCAGGGATTTTGCAGAGGGCAGTTAAGAATCAAAAGGTGCTTACTAATATACACTTAGATGCTATTATAATATTATTTTACCAGGGTGGTCAGCCAACTGAATATCATGGAAAAGTCAGGGAATTTTTTTCTTGTCAGGGAAATCAGGGAAAAATGTCTTTTTTAAAAATTTAATTTTTTTTTAAGGTTTTATTTTACTTACTCCCAAACAACAAAACTTAAAAATTCACACTTTAAAATATTATTGTGTCTAGGAAAAAGATAAAAAGTCAGGGAATTTAATTGGTGATAGTGGCTGGCCACCCTGAATACATAATTATATATATATATATATATATATATATATATATATATATATATATATATATATATATATATATATTAGAAATCACAACAAAAACGTTAAAATAAGAATAATGAAGAATAATTTTTCTCATCTTGACTTTTTGAAGTCGCGCTATGAACTCCAAAAGAGCAATTAAATATTTGCCATAAGCCTATAATTAAATGCTTGATGTATTTCAAATAATGATTTTTTTTTGCTCACGTTACAATCATGAACAAATTTGAAGTTTTATTGAAACTACGCATAATTTTTACATAAAGTATAAGTAATTAAAAATACTTTTTAATTTTTTTTTCAAGACATATACCATCGAAATAAAAAGAAAAAATATTATTTTTATAAAATAATAAATAGAATACGATAAGATATGTTTAAGATATTTGACATAAAATAGTACATATTCAAAGCAGAAAAAAGTCGTTTTTCCACTTTAAAATTTGAGCCAAAACATCTTTTTTTTGTATAGCATTCTTTTTCAAACTCTTTTTCGTTTCTATTTAAAAAGTAAAAGAAGTAAAAAGAAACGAACAAAGTATGCATTATAAAAACAGGTTATAAAATTTAAGTTTCTTTAGATTATAAAACTGATATAACTTTTTTAATAATAAAAAAACAAACATTGTAAGCTACATAGTGACCTTTTTATATTACGACAACATAATAAAGTTTTTTTTTGTTGCGTCTTTTTTATTTACCGGTGGTATTGAATTACCAGTTTGCCAGTTAATTAGCGGTTATTTATTTTTGAATATAAGTGGAATAACACATTTAGAGCAATGTTGAACCATTTTAATTACAATTTTTTTTATAATAACTTTTTAAAAACCATAATTATCCAATAACATATCTCTTGATCAAGCTCTAATTTTATTCCGCAATAGACCAACGCAGTATTTTATGTCGAAAACAAAACCGTCTCACTCAAAACTCAATTAAACTATTCTATATCCCCCTTATTCAAGTTTCAATTGCTATGTTTGGGAGTATACTTTATTTAAAACTCAATTGAGACATTTTGTGTTTTCTATATAACAGAGTAACCCACAGCATCATAAATAGTAACTGTATAAAATCCGTAACAGTAAATTTTTTTAACTCACTAGTAAACCAATCAATTACTAATTACAATCTAATTACTCTTAAACCGAATTTACAATCTCTGCCCCATAGAACACTATAAAACACAATAAAACTGGAACAAGAAGCAAAAACTTTCACGTAAAACCTTTTAGTTTAAAAATTTTGACAAAAATTATGAAAATTCACATTCAATAAAATTTGAGTACAAAAACTTACCGCTAAATTACTAGATAAAAAATAGGAAAAAAATATGTAATCATTCTTAAATCGCTTTAACAATGCCTGCTAAATAGTGCAAAATGTAATTAAAAGTTTCATTTAAAACATTTTAGATAAAACTAGTAATAAAATTTTAAATAGAGAATAAAACTCTTCAAATATGATAATTATAGACAAAGAAGTCTTTGATAGAGCCATCCTGGACTTCATACCATGGATCTCCTGCATATACGTTGATGTTTTTAAAATTGTATGATTTAAAGTTTTGTTTTGCATATACTTTTTCTTCATTAATATATACTTCAAAAACACGCACCATTCGAGGATTGCTTTGACTTATTTGAACAGATATCCATTGGTTCAATGAGAGTGGCTTGGAATAAAAGTATTCATTTTTATTTCCATTTATTGCAAAAGCCACGTACAACTTTTGTTCATGAATCCAAACGCCAGGAATTCGATCACCGTATTTTACATTATCCTCCCCAAGAGTAAAATGAATGACACTTCTATGACCATTTGAAAAGCTGTTTAGTTTTATTTTAAAAAAAATATAAAATACCTTATCTAAGCGTGGCAAAACCGCAACCAAGTTACTTTTCTTCAGTGTCTGTTCATCTTTAATAATTACTGCTATAAAAATAAAAACATATTTTCGCAATTTTAAGTAATTAGTTAAAAAACAAAAAAAGTGCTAACTTTCTTACAAATGTTATTTATTTGTTTTTTATTTTTTGGCTTCTATTATTTCCAACGGGTAAATGTGTTTTCTATAAAACTTTATTATTTCAGATATTCATTAGTATGATTCATTGTTATGGGTATTTTAAACGATTCAGTGCTCAGCGTATTTAAGGAGAGATCCGAAGATAAATATTGTGTTTAGGCCATTTCGTTTTCAAAAAAAGCCGTTGTATTTTGTGTGCGTTTTGATTGATTTACTTTTTATAAAAAATCACGAAGCTCGTTGTTTTGTTTTGTATACAAATATTGGGTGATTTTATTATCTAAGAGTTTGAAGTTTTAACATAATACGGGGCAGATGTTGCATAAAAGCTGAAAGGTTTTTGTTAAGTATTTTATTCAAACGACTATACAGAGATTATGGAAGAAAATTGCTATGAGTGAAAAGTAATGTTAAAAGTTCAACTTTTACGTATTTACTGTTTACGGAAAGATAAAATATGAAGTTTTTAGTCATTTATTAAATATTTTTTGGAATGTAAATATATTTCTTAACACATTTTTTATTTCAGCTGTTTCTATGACGCTGTCCCGATGCGTTTAATGTCTTTTAGTTGTAATTTTGTTTTGCTTGATGCTTAGGTTAAATAACGATTCCCAGTAAGCACAAAGACGTTTAAAAGACGTTTTAAAGATGTCTTTAAGGAGGTCTAAAAGGCGCACTTGTAGACGTCTAGATCATAAGGCTAAAAGACGTCTAAATGAAGACGTGTTTATAAAAACGCGTTTTAGACGTATGTTAGACGTTTTTTTTAAGATAAATTTAAGTACATGACGTAACATTTTCGCGTAGTACGTGGTATATATTCATTGTGTTTATAACAACATATATTGTTATAATTTCGTATATACAAAATATACATAGGTACCAGCAATCAAAATAATATTGCTGCAATTACCATAAACGGTTGATGCATCAAAGATGAAAATAATAAATAACACTAACAAATATATATCAAACAAGTATTTAAAACATTTATGACTAACCTTTAGTTATAATAAAATTTAACATACATGTTGTTGGCTAATTTTTGACCGCATACTTGACTTATTATATGACTTGTGGGTGTATAAAAGCTAAAAGTACTGATATTTAACTTATTAAATATCAGTACTTTTAGTACTGATATTTATATATTATTCTTGCCATTTTCACTTATTATCATGATCAGTCAACTATCAATTAAAAAAGCAAAATAATTATTAATAAAAAAAAGATATATTATTATCATAGCAATTATTTTAGTGATTCCTGTGACAACAATTTTAGCAATTGTGTAAAAAAGTAATTTAATTTAAAGTAATTTACACTTAAAACTTACGACATCAACTTAACGCATAATGACAAAGCCGTCAAAAAGAAGTCATAATGACATACTTATAAACAGGTCTCAGAAAAGACGTCTTTTAGCTTTGATCTAGACGTCTTTTATTGCGTATTTTAGACTTTTTATTACGCGTCTTTTAAACGTATTTTTAAACTTTAAAAAGACGCATTTTAAACGTCATGTTAAAATCGCATTTATTAAAGACGTCTAGAAGATGTCTTAAAAAAAGATATCTTCTTGACATTTTTTTAAACGCTTAAATAGACGCCTTTTAAACGTCATTTTAAAAACGCCTTTGTAAAAGACGTCTAGAAGATGTTTTAAAAATTGACGTCTTCTAGACGTCTTTTTATCTTTTAAAACGACGCTTTTTATACGTCATTTAAAAAACGCATTCTTAAAAGACGTCTAAAAAATGTTTTTAAATTGTCTATAAGTGCGTCCTTACCTAGACTAGTTTTAGACGTCTATAAGTGTCTAAAATGCGTCTTGTGCTTACTGGGTTTGTAAAAAAATAATAAATTGTATAAGAAAAGCTTAAATTCTTCTTTAAATTAATTGTATTACAGTAATAGTGAAAATAAGTTTAAAAATGTAAATTTTTGTTTTTAAGAAATGCAAATCATTCGGATCTCTCCTTAACTACGCTGAGTGAGGAAATAATCATCTGTAAAAACAAAAACAAAAAACTCAATGTCGTGAATAATTTTTTTTGAATGAATATAAGGCCGGGTGAATAAAATATATGCAAGTGCAATTACTTATTATTTGCTCAGCTTTACGCGAATTAAATTTTTAGCAAATTTGATTAAGTTTTCATTCTTGTAAATCTGAGCTATAACTCGGCATTTTTGGAGTAAATTGCTTAGTTAGAATAAAAATTTTGAGCAAGTTTACTTAAAATTTAATTCACGTAGAGGTAAACGAAACGCAAAGTTAAAGCATTTGTTTTTTTATATTTACCTTCATAATTATTACATACACCATGTGTAACCATGGATAGTAAAACAACACCAACTATCATTTTCTAAAAAGAAAACGTTATTCATAAATTAAGTGTTTTGTATACAATACTTATTTCAAAAAAAATAGTAAAAAGAAATTTAATATTTTTAGTACCATTATTTTTTCTGTTATCTGTATCGCAATGTTTCGCTATTGTTAAGCAGATGTGAAATGAACGATGAATTTTGAAAATGATAAAGTATTTGTGTAAAGAACGAGGTTACTGACGTGTGACGGAATCAACACTATCAATAATGTGTGTTTAAATTAAATTTTAAATCTAGGCTTATATATTATTATTTGAAAATATTTTAATCACCTTTTGACGTCAATTCCTCGATAATAAAATCTACTTTTGCATTGCTTTTTTAATTTAATTAAATGATCGCGTCCCTCTTGTCTTTTTTGCCCTGTTTCATATTTGCAAAATAGTTAACTAACATAATAAGAAGTTAAATTTTCAAAACCTAATGTGCCCTTCTTGTAATGTTGTATTTTTATTTAACTTAAGTGTAGTTTTTTGTTTATTTTAATACTTTTATGTTAACATTTTCATATATATATATATATATATATATATATATATATATATATATATATATATATATATATATATATATATATATATATATATATATATATATATATATATATATATATATATATATATATATATATATATATATATATATATATATATATATATATATATATATGTATGTATGTATACATATATATATATATATATATATATATATATATATATATATATATATATATATATATATCATATATGGTATATATATATTTATATATATATATATATATATATATATATATATATATATATATATATATATATATATATATATATATATATATATATATATATATATATATATATATATTAAAATATTAACTCGGGGTGTAGTGATAAGGCAAGTATTGTCTTCTTTTAACCCCGGTCATGTAGATCTTATTTATACTACACTGAATTGTACTATTTTTTTTTTACTGACGAAATAAATAAATAAAAAGGGTTATAATACATAAAAGTATTAATTTAAGTTTTGTTAGCTGTTACTTTCATTGATTTGTTGTATATAAATATATATATATATATATATATATATATATATATATATATATATATATATATATATATATATATATCCCCATGCAATATTAAGTAATCCCCATGCAATATTAAGTAAGTGTTCTATTTTTTGATTAATATGTGTATATTATCTTATATGTCTGTGAGTTTGTTTGTTGTAATTGATTATTTGTTAGCATAGCTTAGATATATAGATAGATATAATTATGTTAATGTCATTCTAGCTTTATATATCAATATAGCATTAACTACAGCTTAAAGAATATGGTACGACAATTAATCGGATTAGCCAAACTACAGACAACTTTTTATTGAGCTTCAATTGTAGTTTTTTTTATAAATTGTAAAGAGTTTTTATTAATGTTTTTAATTTCCTTGATAATTCATTTTCTCAATAATTTTCTTGAAATTTAATAAATTTTTTCTGAGTTTTATTTTATAAAGATATATGTAAAAATTTTCAGCAAATGTAATCTTGATAAACAAGAATTTTTAAAACTTTTTGTTTTGATTTTGTGTACCAATTTATATCGTACATTTTTATATTTATTATTTATATTTGTACATATATTTATATTATACATATTTATTTTGTAATACTAGGTAAAAAACGACAATATTTATGATCCGTTAATGTTGTTTTACCTGCTGAATTTTTACAAAATTAAAAAATTCACTAACTCTCGAAAAAATATCGTTTCGCAATAACCATTCCGTTAAATAGACAGCGCGCAATTTTAACGAGTGTTATTTTTTGCCAAAGTTTTATTTTCGGCTTTACCGAGAAACCCGTGAATCGAGTACTCCTTCGTCTTTATAATTGCACTACTTAAGCAATAGTGGATCATTTAAAAACCATTGAAATGATCCATTTTTTAAATATAATGTTATGAGAGTGCACTTACATAAACTTAAAATCAATCAAAATTTAACTAATTATGCGAAAGTCTTGTGTCAAGAATCCTACTAAACATAATCTTGTTCCAAGGACCAAATAAAGCTCATGTTATCTTAAAATTAGAAAGAGCAGAACAGTTTATAAGTAAAATGCCTGGTGATCATTTTTCGCCTTGCAGGTGAAACTTCAGAACTTCTTTTTGGAGATGAATGTGTACACAAAAATAAATTTTTGGAGATGTGTACACAAAAATAACTTTTCTAAATCTTTACTAATGGCAATTCAACTCGTTATATCAATTTTCAATTATTTGTTCAACGTATTTTTCGTATTTGAAAATTTAGCTACAAATACGGAAAATTTCCACACACAATGGACGGATACTTCTATACATGGACTTTAGGATACTTACTGTTGAAATAACGGAATAAATTTCCGTTTTTTAACGGAATTTTAAAACAGTGTATAGTTTTTCTTTTCGGCGAAAAATTCTCTCGTTTTTATATAAAGAAAGTTTACAAGGGTACGTAATTTCGTCTAAAAACTATTTTGATGTTACTAGAGTTATATCAAACAGGTAATGACTGAATTCAAACGTATAACTTTGTTTTGCTTTGTCATTCAACTAAACTAAATCCGTGGTTCGGCGCCAGCTCTAGCCCTTCCGCAGAGCTCTTTGATAAGACCGAAAGGACTTCTGGGAGCACCTAAAATAATTACAAATAAAACTTAAATTCAAGGAAAACTTCTAATTTTTTTTTTGACGCAATTCTTCTAATATTTTTAAAACTTATTGTCCAGTTTCCTTAAGACACAGCAATTTTTGCACTTTATATGAATAATTAATTTTTTCTGACATGATACAACTTTAAACATTAATTCACAATTTTATTAAAATAGATTTGGCATTTAATATAAACAAAATGATTTACATTTAATAGTTGATTTTCTTAAGTCTAATTTCTTGGTTAATAGTAGCACCACCTTTTTTTAATTTTTTTCACTAAAAGCAAAACTCAAACCTTGCTAAATGAATCAGAGCTAATAAGGATTAAAATAATTGTCTAGTAACGCAAACAAACACCCGTCGCAAAAAAACATCGCTAAAAAAGTTGCACTCAAAAACGCCACGAAAAAGAATTGCGTTGTTCGTTGAAAATAAACAAAAAAATACACTAAAGTTAAATAAAAATACAACATTACAAGAAGGGCACATTAGGTTTTAAAAGTTTAACTTCTTATTATGTTAGTTAACTATTTTGCAAATATGAAACAAGGCAGACGAGACAAGAGACGCAAGCATTTAATTAAATTAAAAAAGCAATGCAAAAGTAGATTTTATCATCGAGGAATTGACGTCAAAGGGTGAATAAAATATTTTTTAATAATAATATTTTTAAATGAAAACATTTTTAAATAATAATATTTTAAATAAAAATATTTTTAAATAATAACATTTTTAAATAATAATAATATTGCCCAGATTTAAAATTTAATTTAAACACACATTATTGATAATGTTGATTCCGTCACACGTCAGTAACCTCGTTCTTTACACAAAGAACTCATCATTTTCAAGTTTCATCATTCATTTCACTTTTTTTTTTTTTTTTTTTTTTAAGTAGATTAAGGTGCCTCAAGATGTCATTAAGGTCTTATCACAGAGCACCGCGGAAGAGCATTTAGGAGGAAGTTCACGCCTCCTTCCCAACCGATGTCACAAAACTTGCCCAGAGGTGGGGTTTGGGCCACGGATTTTACGTTTCTGAGGCAAGTGCGCTACCACTGCGCTACGGCTGCTCATTCTACATCTGCTGAACAATAGCGAAACATTGCGATATTGATAACAGAAAAAATAATGGTACTAAAAATATTTAATTTTTTTTTTCTATTTTTTTCGGAATAAGTATTGTATACAAAACACTTAATTTATGAATAACGTTTTCTTTTTAGAAATTGATAGTTGGTGTTGTTTTACTATCCATGGTTACGCATGGTGTATGTAAGGTTAATATAAAAAAAACAAATGCTTTAACTTTGCGTTTCGTTCACCTCTACGTGAATTAAATTTTAAGTAAGCTCGCTCAAAATTTTTATTCTAACTAAGCAATTTACTCCAAAAAAGCCGAGTTATAGCTAAGATTTACAAGAATGAAAACTTAATCAAAATTGCTAAAAATTTAATTCGCGTAAAGCTGAGCAAATAATGAGTAATTGCACTAGCATATATTTTATTCACCCGGCCTTATATTCCCAGCGGGCATTTTGACGTCCTAAGGACGTCCGTAAGACGTCTTAAGTCTCGTCCGTAAGACATCCTTAGTTGGTCTCAAATGAAAGGCTTAAGGACGTCTATTCCAGACGTCCTAAAGACGTTTTTTCAAGACGTCCTAGAGACGGTTTTTGCTGACGTTCTAGAGACGTCTCTGGCTGGTCTCATATAAAAAGACTTAAGGACGTCTTTTTCAGACGTCCTAAAGACGTTTGAATTTTACCAAGACATTCTTTTAAAAGTTACATAAAAATGCAATGATTTACAACACACACCTTAGATTTGCCTTAATCTAGGCAAGGGAAGTTATAAAAAGAAATCAATGTAAATAAAGTGTAATTTGATAAATTTAAAATAAATTAATAACTTTACAAAAAATAAGAATAATTTTTCAAACAAAGTTACATTTTTCAAATTAAAAACTAATAGGTACTGTAGAATAAAATCGATAGTGCATTATAAATAGAAGAAAATTGTTAAAAAATGGAAAGAAAAAAAAAATACATCAGTAAATTAAGCCAACATTGATCGAAATCCATATTAGTCGATGTTTTCTTTGTTCGGTCAGAAGAATGCCTAATTACTCTCCGAATAAGTTGGATAACATCCATTTTGGTTATATTTTTATTTGACTTTAAAGCAACTTCTAATAAAAACAACAAAGCATATTTCAATAAAATCATAAAATAAAATATATTTTTCATACATACACTTGAATACATGTCATGTTCCAGTGCCAAAAAAATTATTATTTTTTTTTTTTTAATTTAAACATCATTTTTAATTTTTAATTAATCAAACACATTAATAAGCTAATAAGAATACCAGTGACAACGTTACATAGACTTGTCAACTCTTTAAACTTTTTTTTCTTCTTTAGACAATTCATGCTGTATTCTGACAAAATAGTGTCTGTTGGCAGTCTACATATATAAAAAAGAAGATAAATGCTCTACTGTCAATCATAAATGTTAAAATTCAAACTT